ATTCTGTGGCAGAGGGCCAGTGTTTGGAGACACAAAAGCTAATGCCAATGACCCGAATACAGAAAATACTATAAATATACTTAGATGCCTAGAATTCTACCTTGGACAGCTTGATTTAGCAATATTCATATTTCTGTTTGTTTTACTCAGAGGGATGAAAGAATCTTCCAGGCTTGCGGAAAGACCGTAAAATGAGCATCACACTGTCTAGTGAATCTCAGCAAGGAATGGCTGCACAATTAATGTGACGAGATGATGTGTGGAGATTGCCAGCGCAGAAAAACACGAGGGTCCATGTCAGTGGCACCCCCTTGTCAAAACTCGCAGGAGGGTGTCACACGCCACTTTCAAATTTACAATTTTGCGTCATCAATCCATCCATCTTCCAACAGCTCATCCAGGACGGGGGGGCCCGGAGCCTGTTCCAGCAGCACAGGGCACACGGCTGGGGTACAGCCTGGACGGGACACACAGATGCACTTACTCACACATGTGGGAAATTGCGAGACGCCCATCGGCCTGGCTGCGTTTCTGGATGGGGGGGAACATGCTGATAGCCTTGCACTTCAGTGGCTCTCAGCCATGAGTGTTCCGGGCTCCTCAGCCCCCGGTGACCTCGCTCAGGATTAGCAGCTGCCGCAGGAACCAGGGAAGCCAGTAAGGTGCAGAAAAAGATATTTTTGAATAACCTAAAATAATTCCGGTTTAATTTGGTCTGTGGATAATGCTCAGTAAAAGCACACCAGGGAAGAGATGAATCAAAGACATATTGTCTCAGATCAAGACTCGTTTTCCTCCATCATCCTTAAACTATATTTCAAATGATCTATTAAAGTATCGTAGCAGGCTCAGTGTGAGATCTGACAGCCTCATGGACATTTTCACATATCTCAGCCTCTGTGAAGCCTTTAAAGTTCCTTCTCAGTTACACAGTACTGTCCCCAAACTCAGCAGCCTTCTGGCAGTCCCACAGGCCTGAGTTAGATGCCTTTTTTCTACAGATTACACTTTCAGATTCAGATTGATTGAAAACTGATGCTTTTCTTACTTTCTTTTCCTATTTAGTGTCCGTTAATAACAAACTTAGTTAACTTAGTTACTAAAATACACTGTTATTGTCTTGTTATATGTCAACCATTATTCAATAAAGATTGAATGACTGGAAAACTAACTAAACAAAAATCACTGATAGCTCTGACAACAGAATAGCAACTTTAGAGTACGATAATGGCTATGAATGATGTTGGGGGTGGGTGGGGGGGGGGTACCCCCACACACCCTTGCTTCACCTCTGGAATCATCTATAAAATATCCACGTCTATATGCCTAAATCAGTGTTTCAAAAATCAGCAAATGACTCAAATAAGCAGAGGTGGGTAGTTCAGGTCCAGAGAGTAAAAATCCAGATCAACATTATGTTTCAACCAACCAGCTGAGTGCTCTGTGACTCTTTATACACAACTGGTTGGTTGAAACAAAATCGTGGTTTGGACTCTCTGGACCTGATTTACCCAACTCAAATAAGGCAAGTTAAATTGCATGATCAGACATGGTTAACCTCATTATTTCCATTGGAATATACAAATCAGGTAGTTAAAAATCAGCATTTGATTTTGGCCAGCAGTGCTGCAGCAGAAAGCATCAGTAGTTGATGTTTTGTTTGTAGTATTTGCCTTAGATGCTTGTGTAAGTTTGTCAGTCAGTCACCCAACAAGGATGTCAATTAAAGTGAAAGGCACACGCTCATCTTTGCCCAGGGCTAAAACCAGGAAATAAAAGCTGCAGGGTTTGTTTGCAGTCAAAGCGTACTTTGCTGCTTCAGGGTTAGAAGCAGATGCTCAGGACTTTGGTGCATCTATCTGTGGGGAGAGTTAAGCACACAATTCAGGCGCTCTGCCCCTCCTGGCTTGTGGCCACTATTTGCCCCCATTAATTGAGCCCTGAGGAGTCGGACTTTAAAAGTGCCTCAAATACGTTTTAGGAGAGCGATGCTGCCATGTGGCCGATGCGCAATCACTACTTGAAAGGCCAGGAGCTGAGTTGCACTCTTGTGCGGAAAGGTCAGGGAGATCGATCCTATCCAAGACAAACAGAAGTCAGGCCTACAGCTGTGTCCAGGTGGGTTAGTGCAGTTTTACTCTGGAGACATACTTCATGATATGATGAATTCTGCACCCAGTAGTTACTATTTGAGATTAATCACTTTCAATTCAATTCCATTCAATTCAGTTCAATTCAATTCAATTTGTACAGCGCCTTTCATTGTGTGTACAGCTGAACCACACCGGATGAGTTCCTCAGGAAGCCAAATAGGATGTTACAGTCCAGCTTCACCACTGGGTACCTTTTTCCCCTTTGGAAAAAGAAAGACATGCTTATTGACAACACAGAAGGCTGCAAGTGCCAGCTGAATCTTTAGATTCAGCCAATTCCTGTTCTTCAAATAAAGTCACCAAGAAGGTCAACTCGTCTCCTCGGCGGTTCATGGAATAACTGGAAAACTACTTTTTCATAAATGTTCCACAAATGTGGCAGTAAACAAAAAAGCTGGAGACTGAATCCCTCATTTTTGCAAACCCAGATGCAACTATGGCTGTGATTCACCTCGTGAATCGTGAAGCTCTCCGGCTACTTTGTGGTGGGAATGGGTCAGCGTGCTCTGATGTGACTCCACTGGCGTAGCTGGGGGTTGGGGTGAGGGGGGTAGAGTGTTTGCCCAGCAACAGCCCCTGCTGCCCCAGCCTCTGATCTTCATGGCTCTTCATTAAAGAAGGAATTCTCGGACCCTGGTGAGACATTGCTCAGCGCTGAGGGCATCTTCATGCCCGTGACCACACCCAGTGGAAGTGCCCAGACCTTCCCCCCCACCCCCCATTCCTCTCTGTGTGTTTACACTTACAGAGCGCAAACAAAACCAGTAGCCTGACAGTACTGGCCCCTGTGCCTCTGATTGGCCACTGAGGTATTTCTGTCAGTCATATTATGGGACTAAGACATCAGACCAACCTGAATCACTAAACCCATTGCTGATACTTCGCCAGTGGTGACAAAAATATAAATATATTTATTTATATATTTTGTATACTTCTCTCCTGTAGTATACGCTTATATATTTACATGGTGCTCTGTCTTTGATATTATGTCTTCTGTTTGGTATGTGTCAACTGTGCCCAGACGGAACATGCAGAGTAAGACTTTCATTATATGGTGTAACTAATTGTTTACCGTGCATATGACAATAAACTTCTTAACTTAAAAATATCCCAGGGGATTTGTATTGGAGGTTTCCATTACAGCTGTTCTTAAAATCACCATGAATGTCTCGACTGAAGCAATGGAGGATTTTAAGAGTGACATGATAAACACCTTGAAGATGGATGGATTGATGACGCAAACTCATTGAAGGAGCAGATTGTGTAGTTAAGGGCAACTCATCGGAAAGCTGTTGAAGTTCCAAGAGAGTTCTTGCTGTAGAGCTCTCAACCAAGGTGCTGACTCTCCCCAACTAAAAAAAAAAACCACGTGTATAAATGCAGGTCATGTTGGAAGGGGGAGGGGCTGGTTGACATAAAAATAAAACGGAAAAATGCCCAAACAGAAGTTATTTCCCACCTTCCTGAATCCAGAATGCTGTTCCCCAGAGAGATGCCATATATAGTTTGCTCTCTAGCCAATCACCAGTAACATCATGACCATTTTCCTGCTAATCAGGCTGTAAAACGATCCTCTGTACCAATAGTTAGCATCCAATTGCTGTAGAAATGGATCCCCCACATGACGCCAAAACTGTACAGCATTGCTGAACATGATCCCTTTGTTGTCAGAAGCAGGCCGCAGTGCTTCAGCTGCTTGGGGTTATATGGCTTTATTGCACTCTCACCAAGCTTCTGGTTTTGAAGTGTGAAAACTAGAAGCCAGTAAATTGACAGACAGAAGTGCTGCCTGACTTATACTGCGGGATATTTTACTGGAGCAATTCAGTACTTAAAGGTACCTCTTTGGAACTGAGTGTTTTACTCACCGGTCTAGTTTAACAAATACAGGCATCCAGGAAATGTCTTGGACACTGTATAGTAAACCTGCACACACCACAGGCCTTTATACAATTTTCATTTTTTATAGCATTCAACTTTATTCACAACCTGTGGGGAAGTTTGGTTAACCTTAATTTCTGTGCAACCAATAATTTAATACTTACGGCCAGAAACTGTCACCACATAAAATATGTTTGTGTCACAAAACACAACACAGCTAAAGTCACCTCACCAGCTCTTGAGACCCCCGAGGTTCTAAAACCCAAGCTCGGATTAACATGCATTGTCAATTCCAGAATGTTCTAATCCAATATTACAACCATAGCCATGGGGAAACGTTGTCTTGTGCCACTGTATACCTGGATGGTCTGCCAATAAAACCCTCCTAACTAAAGAACGTGACAAAGCCTGCCTTCCACAAAACACAGTGAGCAATCAACTCCCAGACAGTTACCCCAATGTTCGCAGATTATGCAGTTTCATATAAGGACTGCAAAGTTCAAAGCACCACCTTTTGGTTTACTGGGGTAACTACAGTCAAGCGCAAAAAACAGGACATGCAAAAAATGGCTTATGCATAAAACCGCTTAAAAATGTACTTTTAAAAATAAAAAGCACAGATTGCAGGGTGTGAGACAGGGCAATGTCACCTGGCAAGCGCATTAATTCCCCGCTAAATGACCCAGCGCCCCCCCCCCCCCCCCCCCCCCCCCCATTTCTCTCCCTTGTGCCAATGCTGAAGCAGCACTCTTCTTTTTCTTACTCTTCGCCGTTTTTGTTCAGCGCTCCTCTGCTCAAGTCTCCAAACGAAGGCCCTTGTCCTTCCTCTCATGCCTGTTATGTTTTGTTAGGATTTTGTTTGGCGTCCTGCCTGGAGCAAATCTTAGTGACCTTTTCCAAATAACTCGAATTTTCCTTATTTCAAAGGCAGACGCATCAAGATCAGAAGAATTTCCAGAGGCAGAGTTTTGATGTCAGCCCAACTGATTATACTTTTAGACAGATACATGTTTGAAAAGACAATAATAATGTGTCATTATAACAAATATGTTTACATGTAACTGCACATGTAACTGGCTTCTAATACACTCTTCATTTGAACATTAAGATGGTTCAGTCGAAATATACATTAAAAAAAATAAGTAATTATTCTCCATTGTTGTAAAACGACAATTTAGAAGAAACAAACATTCCAAATGCCTATAAATGAACAGAAAAGTGAAATATATTAAGCACATTTTTTTTTTTTTTTTTTTACAGTAGTAGAATCTTAGGGTGTTGTGTACAAGCACTAATTCAGTAAGAAAACGACACAAACCTCAGCAGCCTGTAATCTGCATGAAGGAGGTGATCTGGGATCAGATCTCATAGCTGCCCTCCCTTGCAGATCACATCCGTTACACCTACCACCGCTTTAACATCTCCTTAGGAGCTGCTTCCCATCAGCAGTAACGAAACTACAAAAGTTCTTGTGCATCAGAAGGGTGTTGATAACAGCAGCTTGATGTCAGGCCGTTTCAGGACGCTGACCCCTATTAAAATGTATAGACCTTTTGTTCTTTCGCACAGGGATTTAACTATCTGTCCATAGCTGAAATTCATGTAGCTGCTTAGAAAGCCCTGCAGGTGGAGGAACTGAGCATTACTCTCCGTTGCAGGCCTGCTCTCTGCAGACCCCCGTTTATGGCCACACTCTCACCATGGTCTGCTGGCCAGCTTGCAGGCAGGAGCTGAATCAGGGCTCCTCTCTTGCCCCACTTGGACCCTTCAGGCCCTTGACCTCATCCTCCACTGTCCTATTGCCTGGTTCTATGTACTTTTCCTGGACTCCCAGAGTGCTAAGAGCAAGAGTCAAAGGAAAAAAACACACACACCACACGGGAAGTATTCAGCAGAAATGTTTCACAAAACGCAATAGGGGGTTTAAGTCAGGTTAGTGCACTGTGGTGAGACAAGGTCCATTAGTCAGGCGCTTAAACGTAAAAATTATGCAGCTCAACATGAACCCAGCACTATGGTTCCAGGGGCTGAATGCTGCCAGGTTCTTATTTCACTAAGAAGCTGCTCCAATTTATGGGCCTGTTATTTTCACTGATTTTACCTAAAGCCCGTTTTGTGTTCTGCTGGCTGTCACAAGCTTGTGAGGTGTCGTCGGTCCCCAGCCAAGTGGAATGCTGAGATCGCAATGTGTGTGAGAGTCGACGCTGGTTGAAGACAGCTGGAAAATGACAACCTGTTTGTTCATCCTCTTCTGGTAGGTGAACCAGCAACCTTCAGATTAAAACATGCTTGTGTCTCTGACTGAATGGGCTACTGGCTGCCAAAATTCCAGTTAGTATTTAATCTTGCCTGGTATAACTTTGGGATGTGAAATTACCATATTACAAGAATCATGCATTTCAGGATTTGTCTATCATGATCCTAAATATGACCTCCGAATACAATCTAGTCCACTGAGGATAACAAATTAGGAGTCTCGGTGTGGGGGTGTAGGTACCCAGTATCCCAAATGCCCACTCACACAGCAAAATGAATCCTCATTGGACAAGAAGAGAGTGGAAGAGAGAGAGGGCAGGAGAGCAGGAGGTAAAATGGGAGAGAGGGTAGGACAGCAGGGGGGGGAGAGAGAGAGAGAGAGAGAGAGAGAGGGCAGGAGAGCAGGAGGTAAAGCGGGAGAGAGGGCAGGAGAGCAGGAGGGGGAGAGAGAGAGAGAGAGAGAGGGCAGGAGGGAGGGGGCAGGAGAGCAGGAGAGAGAGTGAGAGGGCAGGAAGGGGGGTGAGAGAGAGTGGGCAGGAGAGAGAGTGAGAGTTGGCAGGAGAGAGAGCAGAGAAGTGGGAGAGAGGGTAGGAGAGCAGGAGGAAGGGAGGGTGGGATGGAGAGCAAGAAGATAGAAGGGAGGGAAAGTGGGAGGGAGAGAGTGGGCAGGAGGGAGGGTGAGAGAGAGAGTGGGCAGGAGGGAGGGTGAGAGAGAGAGTGGGCAGGAG